GGGGGGGGGGGGGTCTAGGTTTGCTTTTTTGTCTTTTTTTTTTCTTTTTCTCCTTCTTTCAGCTTTTTCTCGCCTCGAAATGGGGAATTCGCACCGCGATCCGCGGGAGCGCAAAAAGAGAGGGGGAGGGAAAGAAGGGGGAAAGGGAGCAAAGCCTGCAGGGGTTGCACAGCCTACAGGTTGCAGGGGGAGGAGTGGGGGAGCAGGGGGGTTTGGGGAGGTGGGACCGCGATTTCACACACGCGCACACACACACACACACAGAGTCTCTTCCCAAAGGACTAGAAGGAGGCAGGTTGAGAAGGGAGCAAAGTTCCTTGAAAACCAGTGTCCTGCTATTATTGCATCAAAGCAGTCAAGAGGGGGAAAAAAACCCCAACAACGCAGGAGAAGGAAGAGGGGATGCAAAGCTCCCCTTCCCTCTCTCTTCTTCTGCAGGAGGAGAAAAAGTCTCTCCCGACGCAGCGAGCTGCTGGGAAGCTTGGTATAAAGCAAAGTTGTGTTTCGATCGGCTCTGTTCAACTCTCCCGCTTTCCTCTTCCAGGATTTGCAAAGGAAAAAGAAAAAAAAAAAAAGACCAAAAGAGTAAAAAAGAAAAAAGTTTTCTGCAAAGTTGGAGTGTTTTGTTGCAAAGTCTGCAGAGGAGCGGTAAAAAATCAGGGGAAGGGGAAAAAAAAGAAAAGAGAGGAAAAAAAATCCACTTTGTAGATCTCCCAACACTTTTCCCCTGGAGAAGTTTCTAAAGAGACTGAATACTGCAGAACAGGCTGTCTTTTAAATAGACTGCCTCTGGCTGCCTGCCAGCCCCTCGCTGCAATTTGAGATCCCAATGACACCTCAGCTTGACTAGGTGCCAGCAGCGAGGGCCCTATCAGTGCGCTCTCGGGCCGTGGGGGTGGGGTGCGCAGCTCCTGACTTCTGGGCTTCAAACCCCGGGCAGTGATCAAGGATAATATTATGAGGAGAGACAAGGGGAGGGGGAGGGGTAAGGGGGAAGCCGCGGATCGGGCTGGGGGGAAAGTTCAGACCTTCACGGGTTAAAGGGGAAAAAAAAAAAAGGCAAAGTGGTTGCCATTGGGTTGCAGGGCAGCCTGGGCTGCAGGGAGTCTGGATGGAAGAGGTCAGGGCTCTGAGTTTGGGGAGGAAGTAGGGAATTGAGTTAGCAGGGCCTGATCCTGTGTGCTGTCCCCTGTGCTGCTGGGGCAAGGACCCCGATCTGCTGCCTGGGTAGCTGGAAGGCTGGGGACCCTCGGAGGAGGAGCTGGTGTGCCCAGCACTCACCAGCTCCAAAGGTGAGCGCAAAAGGAGATGGCTGGGTGCCTGCCAGGGTGTTACTCTCGGGTCCAGGAAGGAGCCTTTGTGTGTGCAGGGTGCCCGGCTCTCCTGTCCCTCTGCCCCCGGGCTAGGTTTAAAAACGCAGTGAAGCTTTGCGCAGTGCTAGGGTGCGCCCCTGACACCCCCAATCAGCAAGGGTTAACGTGGCCGGACAGAGCAACAGGGAGGGCTGGGTTGCTTATAAGAACTGTGTTAGATTCCTCTTTGGAAAAGTTCGCTGTTGCTTAGGGCATGCCAGAAAACAAGGGGAATTTTGCCATGTGAAGTCCAATTTGCACGTTTTAGCTCATTCTTCTTCTGCCTCTTGCCCTGCACAAAATGGGGAGGAAGAAGAAAGAAAGAAACGACAACAACAAAAAAAGCACTTTGCAGTGCTCATCCCCTATCCTGGGCAGCTTAGGGTTTGTTGTCTTTTGTTCCACCACCGCTGCATTCCTCAGGGTTACAGTTCTCCCGGCCCTGGTCCCTCTCACTTGCCTCCCAGTTGTCATTCATCGCTAGGAGCGGGGAAGCTGGAAGCGTGGGGAAGGAATCTCCAGCACTGGGGCGTGCAGCCCCGCGACTGCCCTGGCAGCTGTGCTCAGGGGTTACACCTGGAGCAGGGGTATGAGCTGAACCTAGCTGAGCCAAGGGTGGGAGTCTGCTCAGAAGCACAAGCACAGGGGCATCTACCAGGGCAGTGGCAAATTCAAAGGGATCAGCCTGTTCTGGGTGAGGTTTACGTGTGATTCAAGTCAAGCCCCCTTCCACATAGGCACACACTCCTCCAAAGCTTCATATTCCCCAGGTTTCTTTTTAGATCAGTCATCTGTGCAGCTGCATTGCATGGATTTTGCCACTAGAATGCACCCTTATCTATCGTAAGAGAACGGATGGTTGCTTAAAAGCATTAACTCCTTCTTCTCCAGAATTTCCACGCTTGAGGCTTTTGTTGCACTTCTCAGGTGTTCCCTGTTTTACCATGCGGACTCAGTAGTAAAGATCAAATCCCTCCTGTTCTTACCCCTTGCCCTTCGAAAAGGAAGGCCACATTTCTAAGCTTGGTTGTATGGTTTTTTTCTTTCTACCAAGAGTTTTTCCAGAGATTTTATTTAATACTAACTGAATCTCTGCTTAGATCACAGTTAACTGCAAAAAAATAGGCACCTTTAACATAAGAAAAGCACCCCCCAGGGATTTTATCTGTAAGTGTTTTCTCTAGTTGACACTTAGGACTTTTACAGCATATTAATTGCATCCTGCTTCTGGTTTTTATGAGAATCTGCCACTGGTCTGAATGGGTGCTTTGCAGAAAATAGCACCAGGCAGAGAATGAGTGATCACTGTTCACCTGGAGGTCTGGATGCACTTTGTGCGAGAGCTTAGGGCAGGAGAGAATTTGCTTTCCTCATTCTCTCCACCACCCTGTAAGTAACAGTGTGCCCCAGATTAATACCTGGTACAGAGACAGCAAGAGTATCAGAGGGGTGGAGGAGAGGTTTCACTCCCACTCCAACCTGTGAGACGCAAAATGGTGAGGCATGTAGAGAACTGCCTCCATCAAGCCCAGCTGCAAGCCCTGGCATGGAAGGCTTGGGCACGGCTGGATTGCCATGGGGCAGAGATCCTGTGAGGGATCCCGGGGAAAGCTGCTCTAATTTAGGGCTGTCCGGGAACTTTCTCTCCAGCTTTCAGGCCAAGATCCGGGTGGTGTGAAGTTGTCTTGCAGCCACCCTGATTTTATTCCTAGGCTGTGCTGTGAGGACATTCATCCACAAAAGCTTACCTGGCAAATGAGTCATATCCTCAGCCAGAAAAGTACAAGATTTTAGCCATGAGATGTGCCTTGATGGCAGATTTTCTCCCATTTTATGAAAGTAGTGTCAGCCGTGGCATCTTTGGGCATCACCTGTGTTGAACCACTGAGCCCAGCGCTGGGCTTAACTCCAGTTGACCCTCTGGTGTGTGCTCTTCATGCTCCCTATTTTTGCGGCATTTTTTGCTGACACCAAAAAACCCCCCCACTACCCTGGGAACATAAGACAGCCACAGAACAGTGTGCAGCGTATGGCTGATCGTGAGCTGTAGGAGAGCCTGCAGCTAACAAAGATCACATTTCTCCTGACTTGTGCTCTTCCAATGGAGATCACAATCATGTTTTATGTTTATAAGACATGCTTTCTTGTTTCGAGGGAGTGAACAGAGAGTGTTCAGAGGAAACCAAGGTTTTTATTAGTGTCTTCTAGTGTATTTCATTGCTGTAGGCTCTATGTGTTACATATGGCTCTGCTGCAAAAGAGAAATAATTATTTGGAAAGCAGTTACTGTTCTTAACATCTCAGATATGTCACACTTCATTATGATACTCTCTATAATGTGCAAAAGCACTGACTTTCCTGGGTACGATAAAGAGGATGGAACACATACTTTTATCAGTTTGGGCTAATCTGTCTTTTGGAGGCACTTAGAACATCAAAAAAGTCCAGTCAATCTAAGAAGATTAGGAGTTGAATCACAGATACAAGAGTGAGATTTTTTTTTTCTTCTCCCTTCAAAACCACGGTCCGGTTTTTGTACATCTGAAACATATTAGCAAAATAATGCATTTACAGGAGAATGTATAATTTTTTTTTCATGAGCAAGTATTAAAACCCACCAAACAGTTGTGAAATCAGGTGCCTGAAGCATCGTTCCGAAAAAAAAAGCCAATACTTCAATTCTTAGAGGGGAAAATTACAAGCAACAAAAGCGGAACTGATGGGACAAGTCTGAGACAGAAGTGCAGAGAGGAGAGATGAGCAACAGCAGGAGGTGCAGATATCAACATGATATTTCACTTTGCGTGGAGGCTGCGTTGAGTGTCAAAAGTAAAGCGTGATTTCTTCCCAAGACATTTGTTCTTCCTTTGGACAGTGCCTTCTTGCTTGCAATGATAACCCCAACAACTGTTTGGAGCTTCATGCTGTGAGCCCCTTTCCAGCAGGATCCATCAGCCCATTCTGCAGCAGTGGATGTAGTAGAGCTAGCGAGGGCTAGGTGGCATACTGGATACGTTGGAGAGTCACCTCCAAGGACTTCCTTCCACATCCAGCAAGGGCTAGGCTGAATGAAATTATCTCTTTGCAAGCAGCTTTCTGTGTCATTAAAAAAACAAAGCAACTGATGCTTCCAGAGAAGACAGCATCAATGTTTTGCTTTCTAACATGCCTCATGGGGGTATCAATTTTAAACCACATGTAGAAATGAAGTCTCCCCCCATCAGATCAGCGCCTGGGTGTTCTGCAGGGCTGTGTTGGCTCTGTTTCACATTATCAGGGCTCAGCTGCCAAGATTTCCAGTGGTGAGTGGTGCTGGGGTGCCTGCATCTCCCTGCGGAGGCACGAATCAGCTTGGGGTGCAAAGTGGGGGGATTCATTAAGTGAGGGACATCAGATCCTGGGTATCAGGAAGTACGTCGGAGTCTTTTACAAGAGCTGAAGCATAAAGGCTATGCTGGATGTTTAACTGATAGAGGCAGAAATAGCTCAGGGGACAAATTCCTCTTGCC